TCTGCGCCTCGCCCTGCCGGCCCCGCCTCTGCGCCTCGCCCTGCCGGTCCCGCCTCTGCGCCTCTCCCTGCCGGTCCCGTCTCTGCTCTTCGCCCTGCCTATATCTATCAAGCTCCATGAGACTGTCCCAGAGCCCGTTGCCAGCCCGGAGGTTGTTCCCCTAGGTTCTCCCAAGTATTTTTTTGGGGGGGGGCAGTAGGAGGTCCCACGAAAGGGTCATGGAGGCAGCGCTGACATGGACCTTGTTGATGCTATCTCCTCCTGAGCCTCCTATGCCCTCGTCTCCTGCCAAGCGTGCTCCGCCCTGGCCTTCGCCTCGTCCTTCTCCGCCCTGGCCTTCGCCTCGTCCTGCTCCACCCTGGCCTTCGCCTCGTCCTGCTCCGCCCTGGCCTTCGCCTCGTCCGGCTCCGCCCTGGTCACCGGCCCAGTCTGGTCCGCCCACGCTCTGCGGCCCAGGCCCGCCTTGCCTAGGTCCTGGTCCCATTCCCCTGCACGGGCCTGGCCCTCCATCCCTCCCCCAAGACCGCCTGTGCTTCACCGCCCTCCTGAACTTTTTTTTTTTTTTTTTTTTTTTTTGGGCGTCAGGAGCCGCCCTTAAGGGGGGGGTTATTTCATAATGTGGGTCTTGTGTCCTGTCATGTTTAGTGGTTCCCTGTCTTGTCCATTAGTTATCCCAGGTGTTTCTTGTTAACCACGCCCCCTTGTTATCCTGTCTAGCTCGTTTGTCCCTGATTATTTAAGCCCTGTGTTTCTGCCCTGTCTTTGTGAGTTGGGGAATGTATGTTCTGTTCCAGAATTAACGTGAGTGTTGGTCGTTCCTGTGTAAAGATTCCTGTTCCAAGTTCTGAGTCTCTGTTTAAGTTTATAGTTTGTTTAAATAAAGCGTGTACACTGCGTTTGGATCCAGCCTCCTCTCTGCCTTCACCGCATCACGTTACAGATCATCACACATACACTGTTCATTCGTTGTCCAGAGGAGAACTGGCCCCCAACTGAGCCTGGTTTCTCCCAAGGTTTTTTTCTCCATTCTGTCACCTAATGGAGTTTTGGTTCCTTGCCACTGTTGCCTTGGCTTTTGGCTTGCTTAGTTGGGGACATTTCTGCCCTACAAAGGCAAAAGACCTTAACTCGCTAGAGTGTGGAACTGAGAAAAATGACTTTAAAGATTTGTAGTTGTCCCGCCAAATTAATTATAGGTAGGACGCTGAAAATCGCTGAAAAGGACGCTGAAAATCTGGCAATTAGATGTTTAAAGGTGCCATGTGGAATGTCTGCCAAAAAATAAATTCCATACCAAATGGGGGCAGTATACCTCCAGAAAGTTGGCCTACTCTAGTCTGTTTTTTAGTTTCGGGTTGTTAATCTTCTAAAACCGTCAAATCGTCCGCTTTGTCCCGCCAAAGCCTATTTTGATCGGTGAGTGATGTAGAATATAATGACTGCTGCGCTTGACAAACGAGCAGAGAGAGAGAGCGCCCCGGCCGCGCGCGCGCACTCTCACGTCTTCAAACAACACGAGCGCAGTCCTCCTGCTCTCTCTCTCCCTCCCGCATACTAATCAAATCAATTGACACGATAGTAAGACCGCAGTTCATTTGGAGATTTTTAGAGAGTAGAGACTCAATGAACAACATCTCAACACTAAATTATAAAGGCCGGTCTCATATAGACGCGATTGACATCAGATTTAAGTACACCCACAAGCCGTGCGAGTTATTCGTGTACTGCAGTTTGGCTGGTGGTTATGTATGTTGCCCGCATACCGCCTCCCATGGCCGAAACTGGTATTACGACACCAGTCGGGCCGGCGCTAGTAATTTAGCATGCTAATTTAGGTTTATATCTCGGCAGCACTATAACTTGTCAATTTTTTAATGACATCATTGCACTTATTTCTTCTCATTCTTTTGATGCGTGTAGCTTATTTTTTGGATAATTTTACCTCAATTTTTACATAGGGCACCTTTAAGTAATGAAAATTATCTACATAACAAAATTTTGAGCTCAAACTTGACTTTTGACCACTATTTTAAAGTTACTGTACTCTGCCTTTGTATTGTCAGCAAAAAGTGAGAAGTCATGCCAAGGCAAAAGGCAGTAACTTCCACATTATCAATATTTGGTTACTGATCACCATTAACAAAATCATTATAGTAACACCTGTATAAAATCTAGTGATCATGGCATTTATTTTGTATGATTTACAATTACCTAGCCTTCTAGTTATTGTGCTTTGGTTCCATTCTGGTGGCCCTAATACATTAGACATGACAAAATACCTCCATAGCGGTAAAGACTAAAGAGTATCTTCAAGTGGTACCGATGTAATGTAATGATCACGATAAAACAGATCCTCGCGCACATTCGACCCGGATCTGAAAGCGGTGGATCTGAAAGACGCATACTTTCACAGGTGTTTACCGAGATTCGTGTTCGAAGGTGTCACGCTCCGTTCACGAAAAGTAGCCTATGCAGTGCTTTACCCCTTAGGACTCAGTAGGGAGCGCGTTCTGGACTACTTAGACGACTAATGCATTTATAGCACAACCTTCTGTGTTCTGCGTCTTTTCAGTATGCGTTGGTTTCAGCTGTCTGCCCTATTATTGTGCGTGCACTTCGCTCGTCCCGCGGATTTATTCCGGGCGCTGTGTTTTGTATGCATGCTTTACCACAGCTGTTCTGATGTTGTATGCACCAGCACTTCTTGCTTCATTATGATGTATGCGCCAATATTCCCTTGTTGCTTCATTATTATCACTCTGATATTAGTCCCGTGTCGGCTCGACCGTGTTCAGCACGGGCGAAGTTTTGGCACTCTGCCAGCTAGATGCATGATTGTTTCAACTAGGTCCGGTACCCGAACTGGGTGAGGCGGGGCTTTAGTTCTTTGTTGTATTGACCTGCTTCGGCATGTGTAACATTTTTCTGTCAACTCTGCGTATATCCTTCGCGATCGATATCGCACGTTTGTCGATGGAGCGGGTTAAGAGCATACTAAATGTTCTGACCGCATTAGTGCAGGACAAAGCTATGAGGACATCAGAAGTTACAGGGACGGATGGTAACTGTACAAAGTACACAGGCTACATCGTAATTTCATTTTTAATGGAGAGTAAAACAAAGGCAGAACACCGTATAATCTGATAGGTAGCATTATTTGATAGAACGCCAGCACAGTAACTTCATATTGACGCGCGGCTAAAAATAGGCAGAGTGCCGTAACTCAATATGAGCGTTCCAAAACTAAGCCAAAGAGCCGTAACTGGTGTTACGGTGTTCTGCCTTGGTTTCTCATGGGCTTTTGGAAGTTACGGTTAAGACAAACTATTATTTTCTCGAAAAAACAACAGAATTGACTCAAGATGTCATGATCCTGGTTTCTCTCTCGTTTCTCTGTCTCCCTCTCCTGTTCACTCACTCCCCGCTCCTCTAGCATACACACATTACTCACGCTCTCTCATCATTCTCAGCTGTTCCTACTCTACTCCTGTAATCGTGCTAATCATTCCTCCACCTGCTCCCCCTTTCCTCCTAATTGTGTTTGCTTCTTCTAGTCCTCATTCTCCCCTGTCTTGTCGCCGGATTATTCATGTACATACTTGAAGTATCGCAGCCTTCTCACCTCTCGTTCCTGTCTTGTCCTGTCCTGTCCTGTCCTGTCCTGTCCAGTTGTCTAGCAGTTACTGCTGAACGTAATCCAGCTGCAGGTATTTCTCTGTGTATGCTGTTGCTCGCACTCTGAACTCTACTCAGCTCAAACTATTGCAGAGACCAGCGCCAGTATCCAGCCATCCTCTGTGCTCCGGAATTCCGAGGTTTCCTAAGCCTGCTGTTCTCCTCCCGAGTCCACTGATGCAGTCTGCACTTCGCTGTCCAAAGGAGGATTTATTTTCCGTTTCTTCAGTCCACTCTGCTGGCTATTTATGCTCTACATTACTTATTGAATGTATTTCTCTGTTACTACTAATTGGCTGTGGACAGCATCCTGAGTTTATTAAAGACTGTTTCATTGCTACAGCGCATTTGGGTCCTTTCTCTCACACACCTGACACAAGATACTTATCCACATGATAAAGGAGGTCTTGAATGTGCCAAAAATATCAATAACTCATTTTCGACCAAAAACGAAGTTACGGTCTTTTGCCTTTGCACGGCAGATTTAATATTCAACAATATTATTGATCTGCCTTACTTCAGGTGGACGATGATGCAATTTTCTTCTAGAAACAAACTTTTTGTATTATTTTCATGTTATCACTGTGAAGCTGCTTTGATACAATCTGTATTGTAAAAAGCGCTATATAAATAAAGGTGACTTGACTTGACTTGACTATTTAAAAAAGTTAACTTCCGCTCACTCCAATGCATGGGCGAAAACAGTTCAAGGCACTCACTTTAAGCTGAGACCCCCTTAGAGTCTGTTCAAGATTATGATACATACCAAGAAAATGCACAAAGTAACAGAGAGAGCGAGAGAGATCATGAGAAGAAAAGACACTATTCTGTGTTAGAGAGAAGCTGTTTCGCTCAACTGAAGAGCAGTCAGTGCACATACAAGGATAATTGAATGAGATATGCAAGTGATTTATTTCATAATCTGTAAACTATAGCAAAGCGCATTCTTCATAATATTCCTTTAAGAGGTATGAATTTATCAAGCTGTCAAGCAACTGAGCTGGAAATAATTACATTCTTTGAATGAGCTCTTAGTCTGACATACACACACGCCATTATGAGCAGTATGTTAGGACTTTGACTTTGATCTTGCACAACTGATATGAGCCCATTTATAGTTTTAAGCCTTATTCACACTCACACAGACACACACACACACACACACACCAGTAAGGCTCTGTTGTGCCTGACAAGCCTGAGTCAGCTTGTCCACAGAAACCCATGCATCTCAAACATGCAGCCCACAAGTCCATAAGGCATAAGGGAGACATAACACACATTCATCCACACATCAGAGCGTGACATGCAAGAAAAAAAACACATACCCGTGGACCCTGGTCGCCTTGATCCCCCTATAATAAAAGAGAGAAAAACAGAATGATAGAATATAATTTTGTAATATTGTACACAAATACAGCCAACGAAAAAAGAGTACCAAAGTAATTTAAACCACAATGATGATATCCATATCCTCAAAAATTAATTGAGGTTGAAAGTAAAATCACTTATCATAAAACAAACTGTTGTGGAGAGTGGTCAGGAGTGAATGTGAATGCCCACTAAAACAATGTTTATCATTTTAACAGAAAACGAATGTGAATATTTTACAGTAATTACAGTTCTGTCATGACAACTAGAGCAAGTCAACACTTGCTCTGCAACAGATCAAACATATCAACATGGTCATAGCCATTACCATGCCAAACACTCAGAGGAGTGTTTGGCATGGTAATGGCTATGACCATGTTGATATGTTTGATCTGTTGCAGAGCAAGTATTGAACTTGTTACTGCTAATACATACACGACACGCTGCTGTAAGCAAGTAAGAGATGCTGCTGCTGTACAATATAGCATACATAAATTACCCATAGCAGATCTATACAGGTGGATCTGGGGAAGGGAAAGGGTTTTTGAAAGTGCGCTGCAACTGCTACTGTAAATGCTGACCAAGTAATTGATAGTTGAGCAGCGAGTTCATTGGCTACTGATACAGCAGGAACCAATCAGCTGTGCCCTATAGAGAATGATGTGATTGCAAGTAGATTGAATTAAGGACCTATCAGCCTGAGCCATCTAGTGTTTCATGACAGAACTTTGAAAAGCCTGCAAATGCATTCAAAGCAAAGCTATAAAGCGTAATTTTAAAGGGACAGTCAATACATTATAAAATGAGGTTATATTTTTTTTCCAGCATCACCGGGGCCTTCCCTCAGCCTGGGGCCCTTCATATAGCATACATGAATTACCCCCAATGACAATGAAGATTGAACAATACAAACAAAGTGTACATCATAGAAAATCCCCCTTCATTTAGGTGACAAAGGTGATGACAATTCAGCTACATATGTGCCTACATACCAGTGCATATTTGCCACTAAACTAAACTTTTTTTTTTGCAGTTATAGTCCGTTATTGCAATAGGCTCACAACTTTATCTGCATGTGTGTGTGTGTGTGTGTGTGATGTATGTATGTTGTATGTGTGTGTTATGTGCGTGTATGCATGTGTGTCTGTGTACATGTGTATGGGGGGACTGGGTGTTGGTAGTGATATAATACAGATATAATACAAATGAACAAATGATAAAGCTCGCATTGCTGAATATTTAATCCCTTTTTTCAAAAGCACTTATTGTTAATGGTATAATTACAGATCATAACCTAGATGTGCTGTGTTTGACATAAACCTGGCTTAAACCAGACGATTACATTACTTTAAATAAGTCCACCCACCAAGATTATTGTTATGAACATGAGCCTCGCCTGAAAGGCAAAGGGGGAGGTATTGCTGTAATTTAAAGTAATATCTTCAGTATTACTGAGAAGTACTGCAATGATATTTCTGAAAAATTCTAATCTGGTTTTAAGTCTGCTCACAGTACTGAATCTGCCCTGTTGAGAGTTTTAAATGACATCATGATATGACATCATGATATGACATCATGATATTTTAAATGATATGTACCAATCAAGAGAAATGATTCCTCTGCCCTTTCATCATTACTAAGTTGTCTAGATGAAGTTAAATTTTGTCTGGACCAAATTTTTTTATTTCTAAATGGAAACAAAACCGAGATCATTGTTTTTGGGTCCACTGTTAATTCTCAGGCTGCCAACTTCGACCTAGGCAGACTATCGGCTTTTAGATCTTCAAGTGTACGGAACCTGGGCGTTCTACTGGATGAGTCTTTAAACTTTGATAAACAAATCTCCTCTGTAATAAGCTCTTGTTTTTATCAACTTTGTCTGCTGTCGAAAGTCAAACCTTTCCTTAATCATAAAACTCTTGAGATGGCTGTTCATGCCTTTATCGCCTCACGCGTAGACTACTGCAATTCACTTTACTGCGGTATTTCAAAAACTCAAACTGCTCGTTTTCAATTAGTGCAAAATGCTGCTGCAAGATTCCTCTCAAATAGTCGAAAAAGTGACCATATCACCCCAATTCTGAGGTCTCTTCATTGGTTGCCCATTAATTTCAGAATTGATTTTAAAATCCTTTTGTTTATACATCTCTATGCAACCAAGCACCGAGCTACCTATCTGAACTGTTACAACCATATACTCCATCAAGAAGTCTGAGATCAAGCGATAAGAACCTGTTATTAGTCCCACACTCCAGACTCAAACGCAGAGGGGATCGAGCATTCTCTGTGGTTGGGCCTCGGCTGTGGAACAATGTGCCCATAGAAGTTAGGATAGCCCCTTCCGTGATCTCTTTTAAGTCACTTTTAAAAACGCACGTGTTTACCTTGGCCTATAAATAAGGTTGGTTAGTTTTACTATTTCTCCTTTGAGTATGATGCTGTTTTTCCTTTTTATATAAGTCTGATACTGCCATTTCTGTTTTATTATTGATGAGTCTGATACTGTTTTTGCCATTTCTGTTTTCTTATTTTAAGTCCGACAATGTTTTTGCTACTCCTGTTTAAGGCTGTTCTTAGCTTTGCTGTACTTATCTGTGCTGTGCTGTTATGCATGGTATTATTGTCTTTTAATTTTGTAGTTCTGTAAAGCGCTTTTGTCAGTCAGCGGCTGTTATAAAATGTGCTATATAAATAAAATGAACTTGAACTTGAAGTCTAGTTTCAAATATAATTATTTTAAAGTGTTGGTGCTTAATGTAACACTATCTAGTGTAAATGATAAATCACGTTTGAGATTTGTGCTGGCTACTGTATACAGGCCACCATACAGACTTTATCAACTAATTTGCTGATTTTCTATCAGAGTTAGTACTGGCTGCAGATAAAGTCCTAATTTTTGGTGATTTTAATATCGATGTAGATAATGAAAAATACTTGTTGGGATTGCCATTTAGAGACATTCTAAACTCTATTGGAGTTAGACAACACGTGTCAGGTCCCACTCATTGTCGTAATAATACTTTAGATCTAATATTGCCACATGGAATCAATGTTGATGCCGTCGAAATTCTGCAGAAGAGTGATGACTTCTCAGATCATATCTAGTCTTGTGTATACTTCATTTAACTAAGGCTGCAAATCCCTGTTACAAATAGAGTAGAACTATCACTTCTGCCACTAAAGATTGCTTTATAAATAATCTTCCTGATCAGTTTCATCTCCTCAGCATCCCAGATAGCTTAGAAGAACTCAATATTGCGACAGAAACTTTTGACTCTCTCTTTTCCAGCACTCTAGACACAGTTGCTCCTTCGCATTTAAAGAAGATTAAAGAAAATAGTCCAATGTCGTGGTACAACGAGCACACTCGGGCCCTCAAGAGAGCAGCCAGAAAAATGGAGCGTAGCTGGAAGAAAACAAAACTAGAGATTTTTCGCTTTTCGTGGAAAAAGATCACGATTATGTACAGAAAGGCCTTAAAAACTGCTAGATCTGCTTATTTTTCGTCTCTCTTAGAAGAAAACAAACACAACCCTATGTATTTAATTTATACAGTGGCTAAATTAACAAGAAATAAAGCTTCAGCTTCTGAAGTTTGCAAACAGCATAGCAGTAATGACTTTATGATAATAATGGGGAGAAAAATATAACTATGTGTGGCGAGGTGGGGGTAGGGCAAAAGTTACACTTATGGGAAAAGTATAGAAAAAGAAAAAAAAGAAAAAAAAGAAAAAGCAGACTACGCCACAACGTTTCACTGAACGGGGAAATTTCACAAGAACACACAGGTTCGCTACCACAGAGGACAAGAGACGTGAATCTGAATACAAAAATACTTTATTTTTCAAAATCCTACTTATTTTAAATGTATATAAAAACTATTGACTCCGGAGGAGCAAGAGTTTTACACTACTTCAGTGTGCGTCCAAAACAAAAACACAATAACACACTTTCGGGCTGAGGCTTACCGGCAGGGAGCTAGCTGGGCAGTGAGCATCCTAAGACCACACCACTCACAACACTCCACTCCTCACAAACACTCTCACACTAGCTAAGTGAAAGAAACGCAGGTGCTAATGGGAAAAAAACTCGGTGAAGGAAACACCACCACCAAAAAGGGCAAATACAGCTAGCTTCCCTACACCGGGGGCCTTCAGCTCCTGAAAGAAACAAAAAAACAATAATATACAGTATTTCACAATTAGCCACAGACACATGTATCACGTTATAGAAGAACAATTCAACCTGTACAAGGAAGGTCAAAAATGGCCGTTTTTGACCTTCCTTGTATAGGTTGAATTGTTCTTCTATAACGTGATACATGTGTCTGCGGCTAATTGTGAAATACTGTATATTATTGTAAACCCAACGAGTTTAACGCTACATTACATTGCCATTCAAGCCTGGACACATTGTGGAGCAGCCAACTGCTATAAACAAAAACAAAGCAAAACACATTTTGCAAATCAAACAATACAAACGGAAAACTACTGTTTGGACAAAGTAAACAGATGAAATCACAGAAAACAAATAAAAAAAAACAGTTAACAGACTGCTGGTGGCAATATTACAAAAGGTGGGGCTAATGTACATAATTACTGGCACGTCAAACTTTAAGTGACGGCTCTGAGACTAGCCGCTCTTCACTTAAGCCACCAGCATTAGCATAAAGCTACAAATATAAAATGGTAAATGGACTGCATTTATATAGCGCTTTCACAGACCCAATGGCCACCAAAGCGCTTTACAATTTTGCCTCACATTCACCCATTCACTCACTCATTCATACACCGACGGGAGCCATACAAGGCGCCATCCAGCTCGTCGGGAGCAGCTGGGGTTAGGTGTCTTGCTCATGGACACCTCGACACTTGGTCAGGTGGAACCGAGGATTGAACCACCAACCTTCCGGTTTGTAGACAACCCACATGAACCACTGAGCCACTGCCGCCCCAAACAAACAGGAAACGGTCACACCGTAGGT